TTGGGATCCTGAAGATAGAGATTTAAAGCTCTCCTACACCCAGCCTCAACTCGTCGTCATCCAACTTTTCTTGCTCGGTTTGCAATAAGTCTCTCATCGCTTGTACATGCGGCTACCTCATTACCTGTACGTGTCTCACACGACCCGCGTGTATCACACGCTTTTTTTTGTCTTTTTCGAGTACTTCTCCATCGTCGTACTCGTCTCTTTCGTCTTGTTCTTCCTCCACCTGGTCACATCCTTCGAACTCGTCGATCCCAGGTTCTCGTAACACTTCCATCTTCACCTCGGTGTCCTTCCTTACCGCCTGAATCGACCTAGTACTCGACGTTCACCCAGCGTTCGGTGAGATGCCGACGCTCGCAAATATCAAATAGATGACCGTTCCGCTCGTAGTTGGTTGTTTGTTACCTGTTAAAATATCGCACACCCAGAATTCCCGTGTCGCGGGACCCGAAGTAGTATAGTAGTTAGAACAAACACAACCATCTCGATCTTAGTCGGCGCAACGGGATGGAAAGTTAAGATATAGTATACGTGGTTCGCCCTTTCTGGGTCCATTTGCGTCTCCCGCCCAACCAATTCCTTACAACCAATGCGTTACAACCAATTCCTCCTGAGGCCTGACTGAGCTCAGCAGCCTCGAAACCTCTATCTTCCTTTGGCTTCACACCAAAGGATGGAAGCTGACGCTAACGCTTTTTGACAGGTCACCGGGCGCAGTGTACGCTCGACAAGAAGATATTCGGCGCCCTCGGCTGAGTCTCACCGGTTTGTCGTTCGACAAGACTTTCAGCAGTGCCGTCTAGTGGGTCACAGGCTTGTCACTTTACAAGACTCACAGCGGTCCCTTCCCTAGGTTTACCGGCTCGACGATGAAGTTACTTCTTCTTTCGATCGTAGCGAGCGCTGCCCTACCCGGGCCTTCCTAAACCCGAAACCCTTGGCGCTACCAGTCGATACCTCTACAAGGTATGCCTATCGAGGTTCGACGGCAGGCATAATCTAGCCCACGCAGGGACTTACCTTCATTGTACGCGTGTCTAGGACTTAGAAAATTCTGCACTCTGTTAATTATTTCTTATTCTCCCCCTGATCTCAAAATGACTCTTAAGTGGTTCTCCGTCGTTTGTCTCATCCTCCTATACTAATACCTGGTGATGGACCATTCATCATCTTGCTCTCTCGTCGAATCCTCTCTCGTCAATTTTGATCTCGTTGAGACTTGACTTGTCATTCTTCTTTCGTCGAGGTTATACTCGTCGAGTCTTCTCTCGTCTATTCTTCTCTCATTGAGCCATGATTGGTCGAAGTAGACGCGCTCCGGTTTCTCTCGTCGGGTTTACCCCTCCTATAATTATGTCAGGGGTAGAGAATACCGCATTGTAAAATTTTCTACATAACTATGGATCGTTCTCGTGAGCGCGTTTGTCCTGCAACTACGTCTAGAGTGCGTGTTGGTGCAACTGCGAGCACCGTATCCACTCGTGCGCGTGTGGAAGCTACTGCTGCTTCCCGTGTGATTAATGCTGCGACTGCTAGCACTTGTGCTTCGAAGATGCCGTCAGCACAGAAATCGGGGCCCGTGAATACTGGAGGAAGGCGCATCGCGCTGGGTGACGGGTTTTAATTTACACGCACGTTGCCAGAAGAGAACAACGGAGAATTCGGGATTGGCGCTACAGAGCTCCATTGCTCTCTGTTGTTGTCTCTTGGAGCGCATCTTCCACTAAAGGCTCCGGAACGTCGAGCGGTCAAGGCATGGCAGTAGACTTTGGTCGAGACCGCGTTTGCGATCCGCTATTCTTTGGGGCTCATTCCCCCGGTTGAAGATGTGGAACGTGGCGTGTTTTCGGACGAAGTTGACGGGGCGTACATTCGGAGTGATTGATGAAGACTCATTAATCTTCGACATCATTGCGATTGCTTGCCGCGCGTGCTATTGATGTATTTGGCTCCTAAGTTCTAGAGTGTATATATTACGAGTACACAGGATTCTAGAAACGGAAACTGCTGGTTCTGGGCAGTCTTCTGGAAGAGAGTGTGAGTGGTTGGAGGTATTCAGTTAGTCGAGAGCCACGACTGAATTCGGAGGAGTGAGCCGCAAACGGAAATAACCCAACGTTCAACCTTAATTGCTCCAACTAGCTCGGAGATTGTTGTGTTATAACGTTAAGAATATAAATTCTATAGAACTGACTAACTAAGATACCGCACATGTGCCTAGTCGACTAGCTTTTGGCATCGATTGCACCTTTGCAATCGCTTTTTGTGTGAAGAGCGAGGTTTATCGCTCGCAAAGTATTTGTAGCCCATTAGTTCTGTGCCTTAAACCTCTTTTCGAATCGATGGCGATATGAGCTCATAGTAGCATGAGCATTCACACGCAAAATTTTCCTGTTCTAAACCTGAAATCTTTTGTTTAAGAGCGTTCAGCGGCAAGAGGAAAAGGTAATTTCTGACCGGACCCTCCGCAAGATCCTGAATTGTAACAATAATCAAAGTGTGTTGAACCTAATTAGTCGATATACTACTCTCGAGGAGTCGTATACGTTAGGCGTAAGCGTGCACACCACGCTTATCCTATTTGAGCTTCAGGTGCTCCATCCGAGCCCTAAACTCAGCCCGTGGCAGCTCAGAAGTTGTGTGGGCCGGGTATCAAGGGCATTTTTTAATCTAAGCAGACGTCTCAAGCTCGTAGTATTTAAATTTTTCTCCTTCTGCCAAGTGAAATAGAGTAAATGTGACATTTCTTTATCATTATGATGACGTGCCTAAATGGCTTTGTCGAGTTCGACAAATTATCATAATAAGGAATCCTTCCTAGATTCGTTTGTACTTCATGATTTTGACATTCAAAGATTTGTGTCGACGCGAATCCATCGGTCCGGTAACAGCAGGTTGGGCCTGCTGTTTTCAAGTAGTTCGAAATGTTGAGAAACTTGCTGTCTGGACAAAGCTAGTTTTTCTAGCGCCGCGTCATTTTTTTTGTTAAATGAACATAGCGACGGCGGAATGTTAATAATTCCTGTCCAGTCCAGACAGAATACGCCAAACAGCATGCATACCCACGGTGGAACTCATCCGTTCTATCGCGATTATTTCGAGTCACTGAAATAGGAGTAGATTTCACGTTGGCGTGAAAGCTGTCACCATCATCGTCCGACAATGCCCAGGTTGGGCGATATAGTTGCGGCCCTCGGAAGGACAACGAAGCGCTAACAGGGGCAACAGGAGACTCGGAGCTACGCACAGACAGCAATGAGAATAAGTGCCCTTGTTAGATGTGTACACTGTACGTACTCAGAGGATGACTTAGTACTAGACATCTAAGTTTTGTAAGAGAAAAGAAAAACAGAAATCATGTATTCGAGTCCTAGATTGTGTCTTGCCCAATTAAGTCAAGCTTAATGTTATTAATATCAAAGCATGTATACTGACGTCTACTCACCACCCATCGCGCGCGTCTAGCAGCGATCAGCGGTTTTTTTATGGTATAAGATCCAATGAGCAGACCCTTGGTCACTGCACCAATATCACTGAACTTAGTGATATTGTAGTCAGAATATTAGACTTCATTTTATAAGTGATCATATTGTCACAATGATAAATTCAAGGAACAGGCTCACTCCGTTACGCTGTCCCTCTCAATCTGCTGTCTTTTCTACTTCTTCTTAATCCACTTCGTATTCTTCTTCCTCGATTTCTGTGATCGTCAATGAACACCAACTGATTATGCCTGCTCTTTGCATCCACCTCGCTCTGATCTTGTCGAGCATAAGTCCCGGCAACCACATATGCCCGCTCTTTACCGGCCCTTTCTCGCTGGCGAAGGAACATCGATTGCGGGGTTTACCAGATACTTTAGGAAGCCCCCTCACAGCGAATCATATTCATCTATGCAGTCATGGACGATGCCGCCAACGTACGTGCCTCTTGTCCATATAACAAGAGATTGACCACCCATTCGATGACACCGCTCTGCTATTGTAGACCGAAGCCGTTGCTACTGGGGCCCGCAAAGCTGAGCCGATTTACTCGCGTGGTCGGGACGGAAAAATAAACGCTTTCTTTTCCTGCTGCAAACGTCAACGTCAAGCTCACTAATGGCGTTGTGTTGTTGGCGTTATTGATCAGACGACGATGCAGCTTGGAAGCTTTCGAGCAATGCTGAGATGTGGACTGCAACGTACTTGTGTGTCACCCAGAAAGGAAGTGTCTGCAAAAGCACACGGCTCGATTGATCTGTACACCAGTCAAACGTATCCCGTGCTCTTCTTGCACAGCGTCGACACCCGTGTCAGCCATGTTCGAATTGCAACATCTCCTTCATATCTCCGTGGTTGACGTTTGATATACTCAGCTGACGATGCATCGCAAAAGGGTGCAATGATCGTAGCTACGCGAGTTACGGCGCTCGTTCATCTCGCCTTGCGGTTCAGCAACAAGCTCCAGCCGATGAGCTTTTTCCTCCAGCGATAGACTCGCATGCGCTAGAAAATGACTGTGACAGGGATCGAGGTCGAGATAACGCGGATTCTTGATCAGCAAAAGCGCGAGGATTGCGACGAGGTCGTGGCACTGGCGCCCTCCGCCAAGCCGTTGAGGAGCTGAAAGCAGAAAGGAACGGACTTGGACTACAAGAGGCTACACCGCGTGACCAAGTTCGCCGTCGAGGCGAGAGATCGTGTGACGCTCCTCTTTGGTGTGAGGCGAATATGCATACGCGCGACGCGACAGTAAGCTACCGAGACTTCGGTGCGTCGTGCCACGGATGACCCAACGATGAATGTTGAGTCCTTCGTCGCTTTTCTTTTCTACACGAGACAAGGCAGCAACAAGAGAAAACTTCACACATCGACGTTGGTGTATTTCATTGCAAGATCTGTAGTGGCTTTTGACGACTTACTCCCAAGATACGAAGATCAGCCGAAGAAGTCAATGACGCTAAGTACCAGCAGCTAGCGAACAGCCTCTCCATCCTCGAAGCGCTACTACGCTTAACGCGCAAGCTCCATAAAGAACTCGGCTTTCCCTCCAGTATTCACATTAAAGCCGTCAATCACTCTTTTGCAACCCGCTGATGGGCTACCCAAATCCGGTACGGCCGATCTGTCAACACGCGAGATGACCACAGTCAATTTGCCGCCGGTGACCCTGAGCTTGTTGGCTTGGTCGTTGACGAAACACACCTTGAATGAGGTGCCCTGAGTCTCGATGGTGTATTCTGTCGAGCACACACTTGAAGTGCCAGTTGTGTTATCGTGACGTTCCGCGATCGCTCTGACAATCGCATTGATCGGCGGGATGGGGTATCCGTCCGTTTCCGAGTTTAGACATAGGGGGTCCTGTCCGGCGTTGATGTAGTTCATGAAGACAGTGCCACCGCTCGCAGTGTACGAGGAAAAAGGACTTTTGTTGCCATTTCCAGAGTCGAAGTTGGCGCTGACATCGTAGAGCACCCTGTTACTGGCGCGCTCGACTATTGGTTTCGCCGACATCTCGTAAGAGGACCATGGGCTGGCGTCCTCCGCAGTGACAAAGATGGTGAGAGCCGGCCACGAGGCGCGCGGGTCGACTTGCAGAGCACGTGCGCCATTCTCGACAGAGAGCGCGGCGTCGGCAGAGAGCAACGTGGCACAGGCCACAGTCCAGAACAGAAGAGATGGCGGCATCGCGAATCGAGGCGGGAGTCGAAGGATGAGGTGGGAAGTGGGAGGTGGGAGGTGGGAGGCGCGAGGCAAATGCAATTGTGAGATCTGTGTGGACGTGGTCGAGATCAAGTTGAGTGAAGGTACCGTCGTGAGGGTGTACCAGTGGATGGAGAGGAGCGTCCTGCATAACATGAGAATATCTCTGTTGATAAAGTCTCGAATGCGGGGAAAGGGGTCACACATGCATGCTCTCTATCACATACAATATACCCGGCAAAACGAGCAAGCGCTACGATGCAATCAATATATAAAGACGCCGGTAACTGACTCGACACTGAATACCTGAAGAACTCGATCAAAGAGCTACTGCGGTCATTCGCTCGCTCGGACTTGTGATTACGGGCAGCCCATCGTGACTCATCTTTGCAGTACGCACGCACGTATCCGCACCTGGTACCCCACAGTTCTTTGAAGAAAAAGCCAGATGGCTTCGCTCTAAGGCTTTAGTGGAAAAGAGACCATGCGCTCTGCTCAACAAAGTGCGTGACTACGGGCATGCATTGCGACAGGGCTCCACAAAATTTTGGCGGTCGATTCTACTGCATCCACATGTCCGTCGCCTTATCAGACTGGACGGGCTCGTCTTGGGACGGGGCTCCACGTACGCGTGTCCTACTATTCTCGCTGCCATGCGTAGGACACTCTCGTTCGAAAAAAGGCCGATAAATCCCCACGTCCGACAGCTTGTCCACGCAAACGTGCGGCAGCGCCACTCGCCTTCTTGTACTTTGCTTGGCCTAGTGCACAGCGTCTCGCACAGCTGCGATGGTTTTCTGCAAGAGGTCAAAGCCGGTCCAACTTGAGGTAGTGCAGTCCAGTCCAGGCGTGGCTGAAGTTGCTTGTTGCTCCTAGCAACGTCGAATGAGCCAATCCAGACGAAGTAGCCAGCTCGCCCTTTAGTTGCGAGTGGATTTTATCTAGAATGTGTTATTACAGACACCAGGCTCGCAATTGCTCAAGGTTTGCCGTCATTGGCCGTGAGTTCATATGCTAGACTTGTATAGATTCGATGTCGATCGGTTACAGTCCCATCATTTGTAATAGGCATTAATACATGCTTGGTCTACCACATTGTCACGGTAGCATCTACACTTTGTGCTTGTATGGTAATGTACCCTGTTTTTGCGATATGCGAAGTGGTGGACTCGCTGCAGTGGACCAAGAAGCAACGTGTGCTTGCATTTCAGATCGACGGCGTCTGGAAGCCTAGCGTGTATCTAGAAGCAGGGATTTGACCGCTTCATAATGTGCAGTACCGTTTTTCTGGCCCCTTTACCCCTTTACATGCTTTAGGTCATCCTCATGCCTGTGAATCTCTACAGCAAAGTGTGAGGAAACATAACGCTGCAAGAGAGTAATTTGGCGTCCACGTGCGAAGCCATGTATATCAGTTTGATCAGAACAAAGGCGCGTGGTGATTGGTTGGCAGGTACACGAACGGATCCGTTTTGGTTGAGGTCTAGCCGACGCAAACGCCCGCCATCACCTAGCTTGACTGGACGCAGCCCCGCAATTGCGAAGGGGTTATTCATGTAGATGCAAGCGACATGCGTTGACAGAATTCGCACGAATGTTCATCCTAGATGGAGACAGTATGCATATCATTCGGCCGAATTCAATAGACCTAATGTAACGGGGCACACCCTTGCGTAACTTAACGCAAGGGATTTGGGTGCCCCGCCAGACGTACACGTGGCGAGCGAGGAAGCGTAGGTAGGGTAAAAGTAGAACTGTTATATTAATAAATTAAGTCTTTAAACTACTGTCTCTTCGTTTGACTTAATTCAATTATACTAATATAACTGCATGTATGGTGACGTCTCGTCACCACTCATTGCGCGCGTCTAGCAGCGATTGGTGGGTTGATATC